AAATATTAGATCAATAATGGTGTATATTTTTCCTTTGTTATATCTTAGACTAGCTTTCCGCCAGCGGCTTCACACGCGTGGTTTTTCCGTTATTGCAACATTTTTCATTTCATCACAGCTATGTAGTTATACCAGGGGCCTATAAGATTTCCTTAATAAACGGATATCATGGCGATATTTCGTTTATTTTACTGCTTTGACATTTCTTTTGGTGGATATACCTATATTTGGGATAAATGATTAAGTCAGATACACTGCTGGCAAATACATGTTCGTCATTCTTTATCATTAGTTTTTCGTTATTTAAGTACATGTCAAAGTAGTAAAATGAAACGAAATAGCGTTATAACAAGTGTATCCCAATGGCTTGAGTTGTAGCTAGAAGATTTAGGCGGTTTGTAACCATATTTCATTAAATATAGTTAAACTTGATCTAATTCAGAAAATTACAATAACAATCATTGATTAAATATGTACATATGTACACGAAAATGTTTTTCAATTGGTACCAGTAGTTCTTTAGATTAGTGCATTTAACCATACAAACTCTCCAGCGTTATAATATTGTTGAAGATATCAGATTATACTTGTTAAAAAAATTCAAAACCGTTGATTATGACATAGTTATGTTTTTATTTTTAAGGGGTTATGACATTTTGAAGTCTACTTTTTTATATTTGTGTGTCTACCCTTTACTAATTTCGGTTTTATTTGCAGCTAAAAGCTTTTATTTACAACAATAAAAATTCAATGGCCAAATATATTTAAATATTTTTCTTCCTTAGTCCTTAGTAATATTTTACTTTTTATAATATGACGCTAATCATATATATTGGAAGTCTTTACTGATCTTCTTATCACGTATTGATATACCTTTTTTAGAAGGAACCTGTTAGAACCGTCGACGACAATTCAAATTCGACCGTAACCTACATGTGTTAGTGACCCTTACCATTAAATAACGAAAACGTTTATCAAAGCGAATTCTAAACAAAATAATAAATAAAACACTGAGACCTATTAATTGCAATAATTTCGGACAGTCGAATGATATTGTTGTCGACGACGACGACAACAAAACTTATTTATAGTTTTTTTTTATACTTTTAATATTTTTTTTTGGATTTTATTTTATTATGTCAAGGTATAGTAAAAAATATCGAAACTCACGGCCTCTCAATTTGGAATCACTATCAGATATGATTGGCTATTTTGTAAAAATAGGTTAAATCTGTTATTTCTTTGCGCTTATATACTTTTGCATCTTGAATCTGTAGTAGGGGATTCACTGATACCAGGTATGGCATGCAGAGTGCGTGTGAGCGACGGGGGGATTGCGGATTGATCGCGATCCCGCTAAATAAAGATTTCCGCGGCACATCCGCGCGGGGGTCCCGTAGCTCCCACGTGCGCCCGCGCATATCGCACCATTCAAAACTGTATACAGAAATATGTATTTAAAAACCGTTGTTTTCCGTGTATTTTTTTCAGATAAATATCTATTAATGTTATGAATAAGTTTTTATTAGTTACAGCATATAAAATTAATTATGATATTTCCAGTAATAAGTAGATTTTGGGTTGTAAGTGCGCTATTTCTGTAATCTTTATCCATATGCAAAGTGACAGGTTTTTATTTCGTTTTGTTTTGATATTTGACAAGTAGACGACCTCGAAATCATCGTGATACTCTTTCACGGCGACTTCAATGTGACCTAATTTCTGACTTCCCGGGTTCGATTCCCGTTCGGTTAAAATGTAAGCATTTAACTTTTTAATTAATGTTATTCTCATCTCTTCATTATAAATGTTATCTATCTCCATCTACTGGTTGCCTGGAAGAAATCGTTTTAAGTGATAAAACCATTATTATATAATAGTGTTGATTTACTTCATGTTTGTATCAATCAATTGTGTAATGTAAACAATAAAGACAATTTTCATATTCTTTAAGTTCTGTAGTTGTAGTACGTTGATTCACATTTTCACAATGTAAGTGCTTTAACAATTTAAATGTAGGTCTAAAATATATTACTCAATAAAAATAATTGAGTATGTATGAAAGGAGTTGTTGAATGTTATGAAAGAGAAAAATGTGTATAAATATTTGTATTCTTATGAGAAATAAATATTCTATAATCGTATAGAGGTCGTGCTTTGTAGCGCTCGGTTCTCCCTGGTAGCTGGTTTGTTATAATTTGTCTGCATAAAAGTAATATTAATTATAAACTTAGTTTATGTGAAATTTATTACCATGAGAAATAGGTTTTAAAATAATTTAAAACTAATTTTAATACTTGGTTTGGCTCTTTTATCTCATCAATATTATACACTGTTGATACAATAGACATTGTCCTGCATAAAACAAAGAATTACACAAAAATTGCATTAGGATTTTATCATAATTTTAGATTTTTCTATTTATTTAATATTCTCTAAAAATATATTCAAACTTAAAAGACAATAAAAAAGGGTCAAGTGACGCGTACGACTGTCGAACACTCTAGCTAAGAGGCTGAGGAATAAAAGCACGAGAAGTAGCACCACCGAGAACTTGTATGAATGTGAAAATAGAGTAGTGAAAAAAATTCTAGATATGACTCTAGCCGAAGGATACGACAGATTGATATGTCTTTTGGTGAATATACCTATATTTGGGATAAATGATTAAGTTAGAAATATTGCTGGCAAATTCATTGTTCATCATTCTTTATCATTAGTTTTTCGTTATTTAAGTACATGTCAAAGTAGTGAAATGATGAATTAATCAAAATATCGCTAAGAGTCTCCCAATGGTTTGAGTTATAGTTAGAAGACTTAGGCGGTTTATAATTTCATTAAATATATTTTAATTTAGTTAAAATTAGTCTAATTCAGAAAATTACAATCACAATCATTCAATAAAAAAAAATCAAAAAAATCATGATCAGATCAGTATTTTCAAAGATCTACAAATAAAGTTACAAACTTTATCCTTTTATAATATTATTATGAATATTCATTGATAAAATCTATAAAACCTTTTAATATCTATGACTAGAGTAACTGAAATAATTCATTTCTGAGTCGTAGAAACAGTCATGCGGTCGGGCCAACTCTTAAATAATAGAATTGACTTTTTTATATCTTCTCGAGTATGGTATATGATTGTTTCAGACTTTTACGATAGCATTAGATACTTCATTTGGAATCTTAATTTGGGGCGTCAATTCTGTTAATGTTTATATAATTATCGCATCTCAATGCAGTCTTAACTATTTGTATTTTGCCATTGTACTATTTACCTGAAGTTCAATATTATTACTGCAGTGAATTATTTTAATCAATGAAGACAGACATTATTATTTTGTTGGTAACAACACAAGTTCTGGTAACAAGAACTGTGTCATAAAAGATGCTGTATTTGAAGCGCTATTGACTTTCCATAATTACACTGATATTAGCAAAATTGCCTACTGAGCAGATGTTGTATGATGTTTATGTTTTAAGAGAAAGTGCCAAGTTCTTGAATTTATTATGGATGGGAAATTTTATTTCTCGTAACAAGGCATGAAAAAAATATGTTACCCATTTGAAAAGTTGTTTATAAAGTCGAAGTCGAATTTCTTATATTTTCACGCCCACAATCCATTAAATGAAACAACTTTTAAACGGTTTCATCGCGTTTGTATTTTCTTTTATTGACGTTTTGGACTCTTTACAGGTTCTGTGTACATGGAACACGGAAAAGTTGTTTCATTTATGGGGTAGGCCACTTTTATCCGGGTATCCAAACTACATGTGCCCAGTTAAAACCTCGGCTAGAAACCGATTAAAAACAATTAATCTTCTATTATCAAAGGATAAGAAGTTTTATGTCCAATCGAATAAGAGTTATAATGAACACGTAGAGACAATAGAATTTGACTCATACAAGCACAGATAAGTACAAGCTTTATAGTCTGCCAAGTGTCGGCTAATATTATCCAAACAAATGTTACTGAGATTGCTTGTGGTGAGAGTTCGTGATCTGGTGATTTGTTTGTGATTAAATATTATAAGAAGTATATGTGACAAATAATGTAAAACATACAAATTACTATCAAAATATCGAATAATTGGCATTGAATGAGTGTTTAAAAATAATTAAAACAAGGTAAATATCAAAGACTATTTCGCTTTATTACATTTGATAAATTTTGCATTCACGATGTTATACTGAAAAACATTATTATATTTAAAATTAACGAAATAAATAAAAGAAAGAAGAAAAAGAAAATATTATGTATAAAAAATTAACGAAAAAGAGCAGTCACCCGGATTGAGTATGGTCATGGGTTCGAGACCCATCTTGCAGTGCTAGGGACAAAGTGGATTTTTTATTTAAGAAGTTTTTCGTTAAGAATACTATTCCTTTTGTTATTAAAATATAAAAGTTTCAATTTAAGAATATATGTATAAAATAAATGTATTGTTACATTTTCTCTATAACTTGGAACAAGTTTAAAAATATAACAGAAGAAACCAGTAAACAGAAACAAAATAAATGTTGGCAATCCTGGAAAAATGTGAAATTCTATTAAAAGAAGAACAATATTTCTGTATCATCTCAATTGCCGAGAAAGATTTTCTTTGGTATGTGATCATAACAATACGAAAACATTAACTATATTTATTACTTAAGTAAGATAAGTGTAATATAATATAAATTCTTTTAATTAAGTATTTTTCTCAATATTTAATAGTTATAAGGTACGATAAATAGAGGAATTAAATATTTTACAGATAATTTAACATTGGATAAAATTTTAAACTGTTTGTGATCGTTGTATTTTGATAACATTATTTAAATTAAAAGAGTCGTATCTATCAGACGTGCTTAAAACAGGTTCCATTCTACTCTAGTACTAGAAGCAATTGTTTTATAATATATTTTGCCAAGATTAATTTTTGTCACTATGAATACAGACTCATCATAAATAATGAATTAACTTTTGTTTCAGCCCTACACAAGTCGTAAAATGCCGCTGCAGCTCCCCAGGAACCGTTGTTCGGTTTTCATGAGGGAAAACCTCCTGACTCTCCTGACTGTAATAGGCGTAGTCTCCGGTACCCTGTTAGGATGGGGCTTAAGGGTCTCCGGGTACGAGTGGACGAGAAGAGAAGTCATGTACTTTCAGTATCCTGGCGAGCTGTTCCTTAGAATGTTGAAGTGTTTGATAGTGCCATTGTTGGTGTCATCCATCGTATCTGCCATCGGATCCTTGGACTTGAGCCTTTCTGGCAAGTGAGTCGGTATTATTTTACTTTGTGAATATTGCTTTTATTATACGTTATGCGAAGTGGAGCAAGCTGCAAACAAGTTTCGCAAGGGTCGGTCATAAGGTCCAAATAATGATGTTTTTAGTATGAAACAAATATCATTGATATAATGAAAATTATAGAAAAATAGGTGTCAATATCAATATCATCAGCCTTTTTACGTCCTCACTGCAGGGGCTCAGGCCTTCCTTATAGATGGTTGAGGAGGATGGGCCATGACCCTCCACGTGGCCCAATGCGGATTGAAGGTTATTGACGACTGCTAATGCAGTCATTACTAACGGTTAAACGTACCTTCCGAAGCACGGAGTAGTTCGAGATAATAAATTTTTAACCACCCATCCCCTGACCGACTCTTGCGAAAGTTACTTAACAGCAACGAGCTGGGAATAATGGATAACAATAAAGTTAAACTATAAACAGGTAAATATGAAATTTTTGATTTAATAAGATGCGAGTAATATTTTAAAATGACAGCGACTTTTTTTTTATCCTTTATCTAAACTATACATATGCTATTGGATATCTTTTTAATAGTATACATTTTTACTAGCTGCTTTTGCTACTTTGTAATCCAACGTTGCTCTTTTAAATTAAGTAATTATGGACACTAGTTGTTTAGAGCGTCAACGTGTTGTTTAATGACGCCAATGCTAAAATAAAGAGAGAGAAAAGAATGTTTATGCAATTAAATTATTTGATAGTTTTTAAATATCTCTTCTGCTTTGTAGAGTGGGCCTACGCGCTATTATATACTACATGACAACGACGGTGTGTGCTGTGATGCTGGGCATTGCGCTGGTCACCACTATTAAACCTGGCAAAGATCCTGAGGCCTACCAGCAGCCGAACTCTACAAAAGTCGTCACTAAAGACACGCTGACCTCTGATACTTTATTGGATTTAATGAGGTGAGGTTTACTAGATATACTTGACGACTTCCGTAGTTTGTACTCCAGTTTCATAGTCGGGTCAGTGTAGAAAATTAACTTTTCTATATTGTTTCGAGTCTGGGTGTAGTGGTACCTTCGTTGTTTCAGATATATAGGTACTATTTGATATTTATGCAATAAACCTATTTTACATCTGAATAATAAATATAATGTTGTCTAATACTTATTTATATGTAATTATAAAAAGGAATAATAATAAATAGAAATTAGCAAAATATATTGCTCATATCCCAAAGCTATAAAACCCGCGTATTAAAGAAATCTCAAACAATGGGGGCAACACAACAGCCATAGAATATCTGATGTATCACAATTATCCAGACCCGAGACAATATAGAAAAAATAATTTTCTGCAATGATCCCATGGAGGATTAAATTTGAGACCTCGGAGATGGCGCCCATCTTGAAACCGGTGTTTAAAAGACTCACGAAGGTTGGCAACGTCTAACTCCAGTAGCTTAAGTTTTGTATCCAAAATACGTGTGATAATTCATATTACTTGACCATTCAGACCTCCTTCCCTCGTTTGGTTATCTTCTGCCAGAAAATTTTAAAATTTATTTCGTTAAATCTGGGTCAATTAATGAAAATCATAATTTCTAGCGTTAAAGTTTTTTTAATACGTGCTTATTCTTTAGGGCCCATTTGCATTATCCGTTAGGACTAGAGCATTAAGTTCAATGTTATATATTTAATTTATTAAAATATTGTTTTAAAAAATATGTCGCGTAAATTTTAAATTATGCGTTATGAATTTATTTTAATATAATATTAGTGGGATAAATTATTACATTTATTACTGTAATTTGTATGTCATTGGTGTGCATACCAGCTGATTGTCTTAATTAGCTTAATGAATAAGTGTTAGATGACAGTTTAATTCTGCCATCCTGTTACCTATGTGGAATCGCGTTTCAGAATTATTTAGTCACTGGTCGGATCATTTATATTCTCCAAATTTAGTTCAAAATAGATATAGGAGTAAAATATAAAAGTTTACGCGTCGAGATTATTCATTGTATAGTGATTGTATAGGTATATAGTAATCGTACTTATTATAATAATATGCTCTTGGGGATATAACAACCATGTCGTATTAAATTGTAGATTTAAAATTTTCAGTTATATGATATGTGATACCTTTTTTATTATTAACACGTTTACACACTACTTTTAATTTATGTACGTCATTTGAACTTAGTCCGAAATTAAGGATTTTGCTAAGGGTTCCATTTTTACATTAGAGGTTCAATAAAATAAAACCTACTGTAAAAGGTAACAAAAGATTTATTTCATAGAACTACTACTGTCTAATAATAAACTAAAGATACTACTGGATTAAACTATTGACCGTCAAAAATAAATTAAAATGTCAGAAGAAAAATATCAAATTTGACGTGTTGACTTGTCGGATAATGGTGTACATCTGGTACTAAGTTCGTCCTCGTTTTATAAAAGAACGGCTAATGTTGCCACAGCGCTGTGTTCCGCGCTGTACCTATTTGTAATAGAATGTTAAAGCTGGCAGATGGAGATTATAATCCGACAATTTGTATTCTACAAGATAATAATTAATACGTTCTTCTACCGATGATATTATGTAAGGTTGACGTTATTATAATAGATGTCTATCTTGTAATCGTGCAAGAACATTAATAGGACACTCTAATAGAACAGCTGTCTAAAGTCAGAGGTCAACATGCAACATACTGCGTAGCGCTAGTACTGATTTGACTCGATTAAAAGAAATCACTGTCTCTTTCTTTCGAAATTGATATATTTTTTTAATACTACTTGTCTTTAAATAATAGGTAATTTTAGTATAAGTAATCCTGTGATAGCATCAATTTTATTTTAATTTTGTCTATACAAACTGTTTTCCCCCGACCTCGTATAAAATTATAGCCTATAACAATATTAGAAACTTATAGAGCCCATAGTTATAGTCTGTTGATGATCTAGTTAGAGTCCCTTATGGCGCTATTATTATATACATATAAGATTTTGTTATGTTTGAATGAATAAAATAGGGGTGACGACTGGATAAAAAAAAGAGTTTTATATAGTCCGTCAAAAACAAAAAATCTATTTAGTCCGTCAGTCAAATAATAGAAAAGTATTAGATACGTATTTTTTGCTTCAATTTAAACAAGAAACGGTAAGCCATTAGATAATACGCATTAAAGTTGATGACTCGCTACGTTAAAGTTTTGTAGAAAATGTACAAAAGCGTCACATAATGCGATATTTCAACTCAATGTATCGCCGTAATTTATTGATTACGTATAAAAATATAAAAATACGTATTTAATGTTCTTCAATAATCTACCTGACGGACAAACAAATAAAAATTAGTCGTCATCCCTGTTAACTATAAAAATCAAATCAAATTAAACGATCTATTTACAAATGCTGGTGATACAGTACTGCATATCGTATCAAATACAGATGATAGTTCATAATACATATGAGGCTCGTGACTTATTTCGCCACTTGTAAGGCAAAATTATTATAATTTTCATGTCATTAAATATGCTTAGGCATGTAATTTTAGTCTGTGTGTTCAGAATTAATGTGAAGCGTAAAAGGACAACTTACGAAAATTCTTCTACCATTTGTTTTGGAATTTTTTAAGTTGGTCAGGTCCAAAGTTCTTAAAAATTAAGAAAGAAATTCATAGTTAATCGACAAAGGATAATCCCATATTGGGGGTGATATTGTTAGAAAATAGAAATCAATAATGTGATTTTAATCGTTTTATTGGTCACATTTTCCTTGCATTTCGCACTCACACGTTCTATTTCGCTCTAATTACATGCAATTTTATCTCGCACTCAATCATTCACGACATAACGCGGTCGAAAACTGTCATTACACAATATCGCTTGTTGCGTATAGAATACTGCTTTCGTCTTAATTCTTATGGTCAAGTTCGTTGCAAGATGTCAATGGATTGTGAATATGCGTGAAAGATTTTGTCTCTTGGAGAGAATTGATAATAGTGGAGGTTACCTACTCGTCAGTCTTCATCAGTAGCGTTCCAGATATAGGTAGCAGTTATTAGGGTTGTCAAGTGTTTCAACTGTATATTGTCTTTTTATATTTATATTATCAACGTTGAAACATTGTGCTTATTATGCACGCAATCTAATTACACCGCATCAGTAGACATTGCTTCGATTCTAAGGTAAGTAGCTAAAGCTCTCGAATTAGAATCTTTCTCGAGTTTGTCATTTTCACATTTACACCAATTTTCTCCCATTACGAAAAAGCTGTACCGACGAAACCTTTCTCGTATTCATATTATGCTATATTGCTGGGTTCATAGACTTAATTTAATTAGGGCTCGCTGTTTTGACCATTTTTTTACCATTAATATTATTATGCTTAAAAAATCTACTTTGTCCCAGGTACTTTGAGATGGGACAAAGGACAAAGTGTATTTTAAGTATTTTTCATTAAGAGTATTTTCCAGCATAGCATTGTGAATACAAAATTTTCTTTACTTCCATAATCTCTCAGTATTTTGGCCCAAATTTTTGGTAATCCGTAAATTAAAAGAAAAGGTTTAAATTAAAGTGAATTGAACTACGAACATTGTGTCATTGTCGTGATTTTGTTTCTGCGGTACATCACATGATCGTGGAGGCAAATATTGTAAAACTGTGTGATCGTTAGTACTTTCTGTTAATTCAAATTACGTATGGTCACGCACAGTTCCCTTTGATAGTATGGGTCATGGCCATCATTAAAACCACTAATTTCAATCTTCTGATCGTATAATTAAACAGGTGAAGTAGTTATCTAGTCTAATAATAACCAATAGAGCTTATAACTATTTGTAAAATTGTAATTGTGTTATGTTGTGTTTGATGTTAGATTATTCTGGTAAGATTAATTAAGCCGGATCTCTGATGGGTTCTCCTATCCCTTTCCGACTTTGCTTCCTCCTCATAGAAACAAAGCAGTGCAAAACACCTTATTTAAACAAATCTTTCGTTTGTCAACATACAGAAGTATTATATAATTTTTTATGGATTTATTATTTTCATTAGATGTTTATGGTTTCAGATAACAGAGATCAAAAACATTATAATTTTTTGATTATAACAATTCGCAATGGCCGGTCAAAGGACGGGTTTTGTCGTTTGGATACGGTACCCTAAAAGGGCGTTCGTTTTGGTATTTTACGCTAGATGGCGTCAATATAAATTTCAAAAAGTGTCGGAGTTACGAAGTTATATATTGCTTGCCTGATTATAAGCAAGCGATATATCCTCATAAATTAAACCCGCTATCTTACATAATACTATTTTTATATTAAGTATTTTAATACATACTTTTACCATTTTAATATATTAATTAAATAGTTATTTTTAATGACCAACTGTGAAATTAATATCATATCAGATAACAGATTTTACGGCAAAATTAAGAATCTTTCTTGGCCTCCTCGGCTTCTTTTTGCTTCCACATCCAGCGTCCTATCAATTTTGTGATTTTTTTATGTCTGGCTCTACCAATCTCTGTGAATTACACATCGACATATCAAACTTAACGAGTAGCTAGGTGGCGTTGCAGATAAGCGCCTCGACACGGGATCGTTGTTTTTAAGCAACTCTCGCAAAGGTCGACCACGGGATGGGTGACCAAAAATGATTATCGCGAACTCCTCCGTGCTTAAGCTCGTTAAGCTGTTGGTCCAGGCTGCATCTGCAGTCGTAAACACCCATCTGTCCGCACTGGGCTCTCGTGCCCATTCTCCCTATTCGTTTCGATTCCATCCATCCACTGTTTCATAGATTACTTTAAATAATATGGACACAGTCTGTGAGTATGATATTGCAATCTCAAAACAGTTTATTTTACTTGCATGGTTTCTCCTGATTTTCTAGGCTATTCTAGTTTATTGTATTTTTATATTTATAATTACAGGAACGTGTTCCCAGAGAATATTGCACAGGCCACTATTGCGTCCTACAGAACGAGACTGGTCTACGATAAAAATGATACGAAATCTATCAAAGGTATGTTTTCCATCAGTAAAACACTTTTCAATTAGTACAATAGAGATGACGATTGGGTAAAAAAAGAAATTCTATTTCTGGTGTGACGCCATGCGACATTTCATCTTAATGTACTAATTTCTTTGTTAATTTACCCGAGGGACAGATAAATAAAAAATTTTTCACCATTCCTATTGTTTATAAAATTGGTTTATTACAAACAAAATATTTGTGTTTATGAAAAGTGATGTCCTTTATTTAAGTTACGAATAAGGAGCACAAAACCTGCTTACAATTTCGTCTCTGTAAACGTTCGTATGTCGTTTGATAGTGGGTATCTTTTGATGATATAATTATATACTTTCTACGTACAATATTTTTTAATCTATAAGTAGTTTTTCCGTGAATAAGTAACAAACATCCAAATTAATTCCAATGCACGTAACATGTTGACACGTGCCGGTGTTCGCTGCCATTCCCAGACAGTTTGTACTATACCATCTCGTACAAAAAAATTCGGCAAATCATATATTTGTCGTACCATTAAAATGTGGAACAGTCTCCCATCCCACGTTTTTCCAATTAAATATAACCTTGGGTGCTTCAAAAGAGGTGTGAAGAGGCTCTTTAATAGGTCGGCAAGATAGCGGTGGCTGCCAGGAGTAGTTTCGACTTCTGACAGCTGCGACTATTATTAGACTGTAATATCACTTTCCACCAGGTATATTACAGTCAATTTGACGTGCAACAATAAAAAAAAAAATCATAATGTACCAACGACCCCTTCCCTCGGGCACTATTTTGACGAACAGAAATATATTTCTTACGCATATATTATGGTTTGGAAGACTGATTAAAAATAGTCTATATTGTACGAAAATGTATTTTACAGGGCAGTTGGAAACGTACAAGATCGAAGGGGACTACCAGAGTGGCAGTAATGTGCTTGGGCTGGTGTGCTTCAGCGTGGTACTGGGTATTACCCTGGGTAAAATGGGCGAGCAGAGTCGCCCGTTGCAAAATTTCTTCCATTCCCTCTCCGAGGCTATGATGATCATAACTGGATGGGTTATTTGGTGACTAATACAAGATTTTCTTTTAAATTAAGCGTAATAACATTTTATTCTATGTATATTCCATACTACATTTTGTGGGCGACTTCGTCCACTTGGTATTGTAACTCTTAATGACGAACTTCTATACAAAGATACATCCTATATTTCATTGTTTTATTCGCGATAAAAGGTGACCTATGTAAGCGATATAGGTTCGTTAAGCGGTTATCTTCAGTGGTGTTATGTTAGGCGTGAACGCTTAACAGACAGACACAATCACTTTCGCATTTATAATATGTATTTGTAGGGACTGGGTTACACCAGATAGCAAATTGAAGTATTAAAAATAGTATAAAGAAAAATCGTTGCTTATAATTCTTTTGATAGAAATCAATTGATTCCGATTACCTAGTTAATTTTTTACCATTGGAGATTTAAAATACAATAGGTTATGGCAGTTCTACCTCATGTGTCATTTAGAAAAGACGATCTTTGACATTCCCTTGTCAATATCATTGTTATCCATATTTTTATTAATATATTTTATTAATAATTATTACCTTCTTAAATGTTAAGGTTCTTCTTATAGTATTGCTTATCATGATTTCAGGCTGTCACCTCTTGGTGTGTTCTTCTTGGTGACAGCGAAGATTATGGAAATAGAATCCTTCAGCGAATTAGTGGGTCGACTCGGTTTGTACTTCATGACGGTCTTACTTGGGCTGTTCCTACACGGCTTCGGGACCCTTAGTATCCTGTTCATTCTCGCGACTAGGAAATTGCCGTGTCGTTACCTCGCCAAGATGGGACAAGTTATGGCCACTGCGTTTGGGACAGCATCCAGGTAAGTTTAATCTAATAGCTGTACGAGCTACGAGCAACTTCAACAAAAAAAAAAAACGAAACTTTAAGGAAAAAAAATTGTAAAAGTTATATCCATTTCTTTCACTTTCCCTTACAGTTCATAGTTAGGGCTGTTATAAGCATTGTAAATTATTTTTAACTATGATAATTGGTTTTTGTGGATAGATAAATGTTGATATGCGCATTGATACTTTCTAAATTGAAGGGGTGAAACCTCTTCACGTGATGGCTTATCATTTCAACATTTCAATCAATCAATTTCAGTTCAGCAACAATGCCTATCACGATTGGGTGTTGTGACGACATGGGCTTGGATCCCCGCATCACTCGGTTTGTGATCCCCATCGGTGCCACCATCAACATGGACGGGACTGCGCTCTATGAGGCGGTGGCCGCTATCTTCATAGCGCAGCTTAGGAAGATTGAGATGTCCTTTGGCAAGATCGTTGCTGTCAGGTGCATTGATTTGTTTGATAATACGATTAACATTAGTGTTGTGTAATTCTCGAATGAGTAGTTCAATTGAAGTTGTTCTAGTTAATCTTCTTCACTAGTTTATTCTTATCGGAATTAGTTCACTTGTTTCTTTATTAATTGATCGAGAGTGAAGCGAACAGGCAGATGTTGTGAACGAGTGATACAAATTATTGCGAAATATAAGCTTTACGAAATATGCAAAGTAACGATTAAAATTAATGAAAAAAGATCTTACTTTCGTATTAGAATCGACATAATGGTAAAATTGTATCGATTATAAATAATATTTGTTACCATGGAAGTTCATAAGATTTTTTTAATTATTATATTTGATCAATTTTACATTCACAATGCTATACTCAAAAATATTCTTAACGAAAAATGGGTTCGAGTCCCATCTTAGAGTGCCATGAGCAAAGTGGATTTTTAAGCATTTTTCATTAAAAATGTATATTCATTTATTTAAAAGTACAATGTATAGATTTCAATAGTTCCACGTCAACTAGCGGAATATTGGTGTTAATCTAAACATCAATGTCGAAGTGACAGTGACAACTCACTAACAATCAATAAAAAATAAGAAGAATCGATAAATAGTGATGCTTATGGTAGCTGATATGTTTCGTCTAACGATAAATTAATCGATGTAATAAATATATGCTATATATTGTGTATGTGGGCAGCGTGACAGCGACGGCGGCCAGTATCGGCGCAGCGGGCATCCCGCAGGCAGGGTTGGTCACCATGGTGATGGTGTTGGATACAGTCAACCTGCCCGCTGAGGACGTCTCCATCATCCTCGCTGTCGACTGGCTGCTGTGAGTACTATTTTTTACATGTGTCATCGAAAAACTTGCAAACCTTTAGTTTGTCAAATAAGTGACTGTGATATATTTAAACTTTTGCATCCCAAACCACTTGCACAATAAGGTTCGTACTAAAGACACTTATACCATTGTCTTTATTCTAAGGGCATTAAATACTTTTCTATTGTTTAACAAGCGGTTCTGTTCTGTATTTGTATAGGTATTTCGTCACAATTCAATTAATATTTTAAACATTACAAATCTAAAATATTTTTTTGTAAGTAAATAAAATGAAAAAGTCCTAATCATTCCAGGGACCGGTTCCGAACGACGATAAACGTAGTTTGTGACGCGTTGGGCGCCATTATCGTGTCACATCTTTCTCAAGGCGATATCGAGAAAACGCGCGCCTTACAGAACGATCGTGATGTACCGAACACTCATGAACTCACTGAGGTAGAGAAGGGAGAACATTGAGTTGGCTGCGATGATACAAAGATACACACTAAAAGTCCGCTTAATATACATAATTAATACAGAAAGATGAAGGAATATCAGGTATATTCATGTTTCATTTGAACTAAGAGTAAAGTATACATTTGAAACACGGGTATTTGATACTTTTCTGAAAATTATTTCAAATCATTGTTTTTTTAAATCAACGTATCAAACATTATAAACGTACTGACAATATATTTTATGGGAATCTGTTATATTTTCGATGAAAATAATTGTTAAAGTTTAAATAGTCAAAATAGCTGCTCTATAATAATCACATTGTATTTGTGACGTCACATGCCGGTAAATATGTTAAGGCGCCATAAACTATTTATTTACGTAGTAAAGAAATGGTATTACAAAAGAGAAATTGACGTTAAATTTTATGTTTTATATTTTGTATCTGCTTTGGTTTTGTTTATAAAAATGAGCTACAAATTGTATGTATAAATACAATTTTTGTGTGCCTTTAATAATACTGTTTTGATATGACAGTTTCCTGTTTACGTGTGACGTCACACACCCGTAAACAGAACATGTTATTGGTTGCGACAACAGCAATTATAGAGCGTTTTGTCATTTATTATTTTCTTTAAAATGTTGCATTTTCTTTATGCTATTTTACTAAAGCTAATCATATTCTGTCGGCAGATTCTAAGAAATATACTATATTAGATTATTATCTAGCAGGATGACCATAACCTTCAATTGTATCAAATACCCTATTGCTGTTGTTGTTAGTTAAAAGGAAAGGGATTTAGCTCGTTCGGCCTACTTTCAAGTAATATATTCTCTATATTAATTGAAATTTATATTCAGACGTGCAATATTTCGATATTTCCTTGGGGTTTTTTGAGTCAATCCATAGATCCAGGAAAACGGGGATATTGACAGGAAAAAGTGACCCGTTCATATTTCCAAGTTTAATTCATGGAACAATTTGTTTTTCTTTACCACTTATGCACTGCTTCAAGTTCACTGTTTTAAGTGTAAAATAATTACAATATAATAGACAAATCTCATAAATGAGTGCTAAAAATCGTAAAATGAGCTTAAAATTTTTGAAGCCTAATGGCGAACCTTTACGGGTGTGCGTTGTTTAGTAACGGTATTATAACCGTTATGTGTTCAAAAAACGAATACGTTATTTTGTGCAGGACAATAACAATAACGGTCTAGTAAATGTATTTATGTTGTGATTCTTCGATGAGTTGTTTATAGTCAAATGTAAATCTAGTGACATAATGTTGCACAATGGAAACATTTCATTGTTAACTCTCCGTCTTGAAGATCACGGTAATTAAATGTAACAAATGAATGGCCAAATAGTTGGGAAAGAAAGAAATTTTATCAAATTCTGATATTTTATAGAGATGTTGTATAAATACGATAGTAATTTATAAGAAATTGTATTATATAAGATTTTGAATTATTATTGTTTGTTAGGAGATCAATAATTTCGCGAATATCAAATGTACCTATAAAATGATATTGTGTACTATACATTTTCTGTTTTACTATTTTTTTATCTATATCATGTAACGTACGTTAAAAAGAGACGGAGCTTAAAATGTGTCGGTGTGTTCTTGATGTGCCATTATATTATATAGTGAGGTGCACTAGATGGTGATCGTTTAAGCAGGTTATCAATCTATTGTACTTAAAAACTGTTTTCATAGTTTCTCAAAACTATTAATACTCATATTATGCGCCACATATAATGTTTTTGAGATGTTGTGAAACGGATTTTGAGGTAATCATCATCCTGTGCATTATAATACCAGATATAAGCGTTATACATATAACTAGTATATAAATACCCTTATATTTGTACTACCTTTCCAAGAAACAGTGTGTGTAGTCACTGAACAATATACAGAAATATTTAACTGTCTAGAACTATCTAAGTATTTTTGTATGGATGTACTTTTGCGTCTGTAGTGAGTGTTTAATTCTAAATTTAATATTTATGAATGTTTAACGATAATGTGCCATAATATGTATAAGTCAAAGACTTTTTGTTAATTTGATTTGTAAGATATCTTTTATAAATATTATTTGCGACCATGACAGTCATTCCATATCATTTTCAGTTTCTATTTATACAATTGTACACCGAAAGTGTGTAAACTGTTGTAATCTTGTAATAATATATTGATAGATATGTTTTGAGATCATATGGTAATTTATAAATAGTTTATATACCTAACGTAAAGCACGTATTGGGAAATTCTTAAATTAATATATTTGTTTACTTTAAGTAATTAGTTTAAAAAGGGATACAAGTATGTATTTGGCTAATTCTAAGCTACTTCAATGTTATAAGCATCTACAATTGGATCTTTCAATGTTTATATATCTACTTCTAGTCTGTTCTATATGTTTTGAAAAATAGCCAACAGGTATCTAACCATTTCGGTATCTGCAATTTATATCCAAGAAAACGATTGAAAAATAACGTTATATATTTTATAACTGCTATCATTATATCAAACGGACATCAATTTATCTTCCGGTACATATCTTGACTCTATACGATACTATAAATGTTTTAGTTTTACACTGTATTTATGATATGGAAATAATTGATGTTATTTATTTTAACTTAATAAACACTTTACGTGTGATAATTATTTTTTATTTTTCTCTCATCTAGATGTCATCGTATACTTCGTACGTTTAAACTTTTTTGGTAAGGTTCGCAAGGGGTTCGATAAGCGGGTACAGATGAATGGTCAGCTGTACTTGACGGTTCATTTATCTAAAGAGGTTGATATTAATTCTGTTGCGCAGACTAGACTACACTAAATTAAGCCCAACTGCCTATTTAATTGTGAAAATACTTACGTAGTTTAAGTTGCAGTTGCAGTTATGTTTCTCTAAGCTAAAATATAATAGAGAAACATAACTGTATTTCTTTGATTATATATAGCAGTAATTCTCAACTATTTTTTTTTTATAAAAAAAAACCCTTTTTTTTGTTGCGGCACATATTTAACGATTTCAAATGTAAAAATGACAACGCTACTCTCATATCGTCTTCTAGATTTAACAAACTTGATCTTTTTTTTAGTTTTAATGTCAGCTAATGCTGAAAATCCTAATTCACGCAAATAAGATGTGGAAAATTGTAATAATATGTTTAAAGCTTTTTTTGTTCACAAATTTTACAAATTTATAAATTGACACTACATGCAAATAAATTAATATTAAACCGAATCACATACATTTGCCAATTTTAACGAAAGAACAGGTGCAGTAACTACTATGCAACACCTTGTGAATCCCAACTATTACTAAAACAACACGTTTTGTACGCAGAAGTGGCAACTGTGCGCCGACTTGAGACATATTCCTATTGCTATGCACGCCGCTTCATCATAATTTGGCACCTAGAAAAAACGCGCTGCAAAGCAAATAATAAAATAATTTATTTTTTGTGGATTTATATATATATATATTTATGTTAAAAATATTTTTCTTTTTAAATGATATAATTTAATAATATTGACAGTTTTATATATTTGCAAAATTTGGCGGCACACTTTTGAAATTTGGCGGCACACAAAAGTGCCGCGGCACAGTGGTTGAGAATCACTGATATATAGAATAATGAGGAGAACGTTGACACAGTGGTTAGCGCGCTCGATCTGCGAGATTAAAATTTTATTACCTCGAACTCCTCCGTGCTTCGTCCGCTAATCTACCCATATAAATACGCAAACAATTAGGATTTTTTAGTTCAGTTTAGAGAACAGAATGCTAAGTGTAATTTTAACTTAAAGCGTTTACTAGTGAGTGCGTTAAGAAATTGAATGAAGATTTGTTGTTCTATAAGTACTACAGTGCCCCTGGCGGCATCTTATAGATGCCGCCAGGGGCACTGTACTAAAATCTTAACGCGCTGACGATTGAACGTAAACGTTAAAAAAGCGTGTCCCAAACACGCCCGGATGCAGGTCCCGTTTCTCGACGATTTTTCCGACCGGGGCAGAAACTTGTTAGTGCGCCTTTACACCCCCAACCCCCATCCTATGTGTATTAATTTTAAAAGAAGATTTTGTAAAGCTTTTTCTATTTTTAACTATATTATGATGATTTTGGCGCGTGGGGCTATTGCCCACACTTGCTCTCCCTAGACCCGGCTCTGCCTGGATGTATCTGTGCAGTTTGAATCGCAGTTTAAACTCGTGATAGTAAGACGTCTTACTGCAACTTTAGTCGCCAGATTGCAGCACTAGAACATGCAGTATAACTTAAAATTATTTTTTAGTTTTTTTAACGTCTTTCACAAGGTAGGGAGCACAAACACATCCGTATAGGAGTAAATTAATAGTGTGCATAGAAGGAATTTCATACTTTTTGAATTTATTGATAAAAAAGAGTGTAGTTTTATCCAATTACTAGCTTTCTGCCAGCATGCACATATAAATTTTCACAGACAATAATAACATTGTTTACATATAAAGTTTTCTAAATATATTCAATATAACACTTTCAATATTTTAAATAACAAAACTAAACATTTGTTTAATAATTTTATTTAATAAAAATTTCAGCATTTAAATATTTAACCTGTTTCGAGACCTAAGTCTCTATCACCTCACAGCCTAGATACACAATAATGAATCATTAACTAGAAACGTTATTCATTTAAACAAAAATAATTGAGGAATTATAACAATATTTTGATATAAAGATAACTACAAAATGAATGTTTCGTTTGTTGGTCAGTCTTAAAAAATTAAATACATAATAAGTTATACTAGTGGACAATAAAATTAGCCCATCAACTATGTTGTGACTGTGTTTCAACTTAGGAATATTTTAACAAATATATTTTAATAAGTGTATTTTATTTTTAAATTAACAATATATTTATTTAGAAATACAAAGAAAATTTTAAAACGTAGAAAAGAATCAATAATAAAATTTTAAAGTGATCTAATTTTTGTCTTCAAGTACATATATTTTCTTTTTCTATATTTAACTTGTGACATAACTTTGGTTTAAGTTGAGTATCAATGTTCCTTCACAATTTCTGAGATACAAATTCACAAATTTACCACAATATACTTAATTAAATTAGATATAAAACTAGTAAGGAATGTTATAATTGAGATTAAAATCGTGTCCCTATTTATGAAGATTCTTTTTTTTCGTCTTCAGATAAACGTTATATTTCAAAACTTTTGTATACATTCATAATTTATTAATGATTTTATAGTTACCTATATAGAGAACGGATAGGAGAAGGATTTAAAAAAATCTCCCATTAATCTTGGTGTAATGGATCTGTCGGGCTTAAGATATAAAAATATATAATCTGATTACTTTGTGAGAATGCTCCATATTTAGAAATAAAATCATCCACTTTTTAAATTATGATTAGTAAACATTTTGATATACAAAACTACCAAAGAGCAAATTAGTTAATTTGCTTGGTCTAAGTACTTATACATTACACATGTACAGTACTTTGCATTGTAGATATATTAATATTGTCAATGCTACAATACCTTAGTTCTCGAGAGCCAGTTAAATGTTCGTGAGCCTGAGACAGCACTGCGATGTAAGGACCCCATTACATTTCGACTGTGATTTTTGCGTTAAATGATAATTTTTGGCGTTAACATAATATATTAATAATTTTGGCTCATTGAATACCCATTGGCATAATTCTTAGCGACTCCGCTTTTAAACTTAACATTGTAGAGAAATAACTATTTTCATAAATACACGATGACACTTTTTTGACTTTCTGGATTGAGCTACTGATCTAAACAAATAAAATAAAAAAAAATCTCTTGTAGTTCGCAGCGGCCTTGAAATTTTTATATATTTTTGATTTACAATATAGAAAAAATATATTTTTGACCAAAAATCTTCGAAAATAGCTATAAGTTCACTACTTTCGATAATATTATTGAACAAAATTTGTAGTTATCATATTTAAATTAAAACGATAAATTTATATGCTTAAATTACTATAAAAAGGCGATGTTTTATATGGCCGTAGCGAGTTTTTTTGAATTTGTTATAGGCTCTTACTTTGCTGAAATAGAATCTAGTCTAAAGAGGTTTCTTTGGAGTGATGTCAGAGTTTCGAAAATATACGAAATTTCGATTTCGGAGAATCAGAGTACCTTCTGATTAAGGTCTGAGTGAAAACCAACATTTACGAATGAACATTTTAAAATTTGTTCTTCTTAGTGCACTTATCAACTTTGACTGTCAGACGTTTTATATGCACGCGTTTTTTTTTTATTTCAATGGGCTTTTATGCCATTTGATCGTAATGCGGTCTCAGTCTTATTTCTAATTTTCTCGTATCATTAACGTCGCCTGTACGCGTCAAAAGGCGTTATAATTAAACAGGTATTTTACAACACAAATATCTGTAATGGCATAAACAAAATGTTAAAAGCTTTTTATACTAACGTTTTTATTCAATTTTGTCTTATGACTATAACAGTCAAATTTATACACAATTTATATACAGATGTGCATATAGAACAATATCGCTTTTTCTAATAAGTAATCTACATTAAGCAGAGTGGATTTTTAAACGATGCAATAATAGAGAGGTAGCGTACCTACATATATTAGATGTCAAAAGATGGTAAAAATTCATACAAAAAAGTATTTTTTTCAAACAGCAAAAACTGATTTTAAAGAAGTCCTAAAAATTACTTAATAACTAGAAATGCTGTAAACAACTTCGAGTAAATTATTTTGAAGTCGGGCGAGCATTACTTATACTTCCATTTCTAAAAATATGTCTGCAATTGGTAATTATTTATTTATTAAAATCTATTTCTTTCATGATTTATGGAATCGGTTTTAGATGAAAAAAAAAATTACAGTGCCAAATTTTTCAATTTCAAATCAAGATTTTTAAACTCTAAATAGTTTTACATAGTAGTCACATCTAAGTAAGTACGCCACTGAGATTTTTAATTCATTCTTGCATAGAATTTTAACAACACTACAACACTATTACACCATTCCGTTGCCTACATGATTATTGTTGATATGTTTCACACTGCCGTTGTTTATGTATGCGGCCTCCTTGTTATCGTTGTGTTCGACGAGTGAATGACGCGCGCGCGCCAGTGTCGCCGCTGATATCTCCATAGATTCACCGTAGTACGGGAACTTGGAGCCTCTCCTCGTGCTACCGCAGTATCTCGCGTTCTGTAAATTAATATATTTCAAATTTAGAATGTTTCTATTGTTGTTTCTTTTTTAATAAGTTTACAAAGTACCTTGTAAAAAGTTTATTAATAATTCACTATATCATATAATCATTATAGGTAGCTAATAAAAATTTGTTATCTCTTTATTCAAAAGAGGTGTCACCTCTAATTTACCATTTTATTATATATTATAAACAATACTGGTTTCTTATATTTTCACGCATACTACAATAATAAAGCAATTAATTAAGTAATTGTATATAAAATTATATATAAAGCTACTTTTGTAACGGTGTGCCATGCCACCGTTTGTTTTCCTAGGTTTCAGTATGCAAACTTTTTGTTTTTGAAATTCAACATCATTTCATTTTATTATTCGTCTTTCGTAATTTAAAATTTTGACTAATCAATTATACTCTTTATGGATGTCAGTTCGTAAGAAATTCTCCTATGCACAAGATGAAATTATAATACAATACAATATTAATGGTTTAATTTTACTATGTAATTTTAAAATAATTCATTTATTGTGATAAATAATGTGATATGGTGATACAAATTATATAACATATGTAACTACTAAATTGTAATCTGTATTTTGGACGTTCCAAAAGTTAACTAGAAGCCCGACAAGGGGTATGTATTCGTTTATTTGATAAGTATGTATTAGTTAAGTAACTTACGAACTGTTTTTATAAATTTATTTTTGTTTGTTACAGTTTTTCTTATTACCCTTATTTAACTAATAAATATATACTCAAGCTAAGCAGCCTTATTAATGACCCAAGCACCGAACCCGTAACACTTTTAATGAAAAAAAAATAGTAAAATAAACGCGTGTAACGCGATCTTATAATCGATTCATCCTCATGATTTTCGTCACGATTGTTTGATCCATCTAGAGGCCACCGCTACGTTCCTTGTCAGTGATTGGCCGTTCAGGTTGCCGTCATGCAATATGGTAGGATTGATCCGCCAGAAGAAAATATACGATTTTATGTTTAGGATGGCGGTTAGCGAGCAATTCATTGCATTTTTATTTTAATAGTTATCACCTGTTTGTAAAGAAGTTCTGTAAATTAAAATACTTTTCTAATACGTGAGTATGTATTTTATAGTGGCGCCCAACGTGGGGCCTGAAACAATAGTTGGAAATATTGAATTACAATCATCGCTAATACCGACTGCTACTTTTGCTGTGCCACTATTTGTGAATTTTTACATTTACGTCGCCGACTGATAACATGCCGCGAACGACTCGTAGAAACCACCACGGTGATACAAACGTAATAATACGAATAACACTGGAAATAACATCGTGACCGATTTGCAATTGACAGCAATCGTCGTCCAGGAGCTAGGCTGAAATGCACCAGCAATTATTCGAGAGCATCTTAGATCATACTTTACTATCATCCGGCGCCGCTGCGTTATCATCGCCAGCGCCGATACATCACGACGTACCCTTTCTTCAATCTGACAACTTCGCGAAGTACACTGCGCGCTTCGATGGCTCTGCGCTCAACGACGAACTATTCGGCGCATTCATCGATTCTGTTGATTTTATTAAGAATGTGCGAATGTGAGCGAGGAACTTGCGCTTCGGGACCTACCAATGCTGTTGATAAGGCGACGCTGCCGAATGGTGGACCGGAATCAAAAACTTCACGGCGACTCCGTTGACGTTTTGGTAAACCGCAGCCTACTTATTTAATACTACGTGATGCCTTCGTGAGTGAGCAAGGAAGTGAACGCGCCGACGCCTTAGTGAGCTGCCTGCTTGCTATGTTATGCAAGTTACCATACGTTGTTCCAGAAGAGATGAAAGTGGACTATTGTATACGGCCTTTTAAATAGGAAAATACGACAATACGTCCGCGCGAGCCCTTAGTGATTTAGAGAGTCTAATAGAATCGGCGAGGAACGTAGAGGAGTGTCGGAAAGAGTATAATGACGGTGAGTGAGCTGAAAAGGTAAGTCGAAACTCCATACCTACTAGTTTGAACGATGTGATTTCTGTTAACAAATCGTTTTGTTAACAGAAATCACATCGTCATCATGTCACGCTAAGATCTGTCGTACAGGCCATGCAACTTCGAACTGCCGTAAGGCCGAAAATTGTAATTTAGTTCTAATACGAAAACGTAATTTCATTACCGCTATAATTGTGACAATTGGTGTCACAATTACCCTTCACACGATTGCCGCCTTTTCAAAACTGAAAGTAATTAGTCGGGAATATACAAATTTGTACCTGATGTACGCAGATAAGTCAAGTTACGGTGTTATGGATGTGGCCAACTAGGGGTTGTACATCACGTTATTCTGCCATTGTTTTTAATTTGTTTATTTACTGTGTTCAGAAGTAGTTTTCAGTAAAGTTTGTTATGTTCAGAAATACTAACTTGGTCATGCAAATTTGAAAAGCTACATCACGCGGTTGGTGGTCAAAACAAAAAAATGTAATTTATGCTAAAGCTCGTTATGAAAGCATTATCACCACTGTTTTACTTACAGGTCCTGATTTCCACGTCCATCGGTTCCTGTTAAACACCCCATACACAATGGGGTTTGCACAAGAGTTGGTGCACGAGAACAGCCACATCGCCTTCTGCAGCGCAGGGTCTAAAGTCCTTATTTGCTCCTTGTCTATCCAGAACCTGCGTTTTTTTTTAATATAAGTTTACTATAAAACAAATAAAAATAGAGGACTTCATTACAATTTCTCTGCAATGCATTTTTTTAAGTAGTAATAGTATAGTAGCTCAGTAGTGGATAAGCGTCTCGACTAACGATCGTTGTTGTTAAGCAACTTTTGCAAGGGTCGGTCACGGGATGTGTGATCAAAAAACAAGACACGTTAAGCCATTGGTCCCGGCTGCATTTGTAGCCGTTGACACCGTCTAATCCGCATTGGGCCAACGTGGAGGGTCATGGCCCATCCTTCTTATCGATTCATAAGGCCACCAAAAAATAATCAGCCGTTTCATACAATCGTTGACAGTATGAAAAACTGTTTTTTTTTTGTTAATTCAGTGTTGTTCCCATAGTAAAAGTTGTTCAGTATACTGAACTAATACACCCCACGAAGTCCTGGCATATAATTTAACACCTTAGAGTAATATTACACCTTAGGGGAATATTACACCTTATATATCCATAAACGGACAGATGAAGAATGTTCTCACCATAGACAGTAGCAGTAGTACGGTGACCAACATGTGAAGAACACCAGTACTATGGTGACTGTCATTTTGAGAGTACGCGCGCGCGCCCTACCCAGGATACCAACACCGCTGCGACGCATTTTATCTAAAATAAGAAAAAACTATTTTAAAATAAAAAAGGGCTATTCAAAGTAGCTTTACATCAATTTATTTAAATATAATTATCAATTTTGATTTTGATTTCTGGTTATAAATATAAAAGTAACTGTGTAAAGTAATTTTGATGATAGGATTCTTCCGTAGGCCTCAACCTACGGAAGAATTCCATTTTCTATATCAATTTCATATAACATTATCAATAAACGATAAACAATTTCATATAACATTATCAGTAAAAGTTGATAAAAACTAGTAGTTTTAATAAGAATAAGAATGTTTGGTATTGAAATACTAAATCTATAGCTGTTTTGATTCTTCACTAACCTTACGGCTGTATACTAGACAGCATTCATGTCCGCTCCATCATTAAATTCAATGTTTATTTAAATATAATGTATACTTTTGCCATTAAAACGAACTTAATGTGTACCCAACCTGTTATGTGTTAATACTTAAAGCAAAAAAGTTTTTAGTGAAGTTTGTTGCCTCTTTTTAACCGTGTCTAAAAAAGGAGCTTCTCAGTTTAACCTGTATGTAACCTATATGTTTGTGCGCGATTATCTTACCGTTTGGCTGAACCAATTTTGGTTTGGTTTTCAGCATAGTATTTGTCAGACTTAGGAGAAGGTTTTAGGTATATTAACTGAATAAAAAATAGAGGCTTGCTCTTAAAATGGTTTGACGCGGTTTCCAGAAAAGTATTTTAGTGTTACCTATTATATAAAAAATCAATAAAACTTTAAAAAAATAGAACCGACTTCAAACTTAAAAAAGTGTAATATAATATTTATCTCAAAAGCGACTAATTCAAGAAAGTCTATTGAAGCCTGGCGCTTATCATTTAATTAATAACCTATAAAAACGCCCGAATTTAATAGCATTTTCTTGAATAAGTAAGTGGCTTTTGAGATATCATTTTTCACTTTTTTTGCGTTTGAAATCGGTTATATTTTTTAAGTTTTTTAATAAAAGCAGCTCATCAATATTCAATACTGACCGTTGGCTGTATTGGCTCTTCGTATTATCTCTAGGAGAGCAGCGCACGAACAATATAGCGTAGACACCAGCGGTGCTACGTACATCAGTAGCATGTTGACTAGGAAGTACACGAATTCATGTTTCTCAGTGGGCAGCGATCCATACGATACGCACTGGTAGTATCTGAAAATGAAACACGTGTTAGAAACTTCCAATATGATATAAAACTTATTTCACTAGATTCAGTAGGTTTTGTTGAGAAGAACATATTTATATTCTTAATTAAAAATGCTTAATAAATCCACTTGGTCCCTGGCACCGTGAGATGGGATTCGAACCCATGAACTTTGGCAATCCGGGCGACTGCTCTAACCACTGAGTTATCCAGGACCTAAGATGACTGACGAATCTTTCAAGCACTTGTTACTTTTCCGTTAAGAATATTTTTCACTATAGAATTGTGAATGCGAAATTGATGAAATATAATAATTAAACATGTTAATTTTAGAATATATAATATAATACATAATATTATTATAAGAAAAATAAAAAAGGACCAAACAGACTTTTTGAAACAAATAAAGAACCATCAATTTTGGCTTATTATTATGTCTAAAATATCATGGAACATTAAAGGAAATATTAAAAAGAAAAATTAATTAAAGAAAATCTTTGTTTTGAAAGGAAGGTAACGTTCGAATTATTTTACAAATCATTAGCTTCCTTTTAACGATTAAAACAGTGACTCATCTACGGAATTTTGTACGAGTATTAACTTGTTATGACTTTTTCGAAAAAATCGGCGAAAATTAATTGTCATTAATTTAAGCCTCTTTCGCCCGTATCTATTCAGGAGTAAAAGTAATTACTTCTCTCGAATATGGATACGAGAGTTTGTCTTGCAAACAATAAAATCTTTCTTTTTCTACGTTGTCAATTTAAAAAAAAAAAATGAAATTAATGAATTCGACAAGATATTTGCAATCCTAATTAATTTTAATGATCAGATAAAGACAATCTCCTATTACGTCGATTTGATTTCAAAATAAATGACTTAAACATTTATATCAATCGGAAGTAACGACGACGGTATAATTTTAATTTGGTTTTATGAATTCAAATTAAAATTAACTTTTCAGGATATTTTTCACCTTTTGATGTTAATATATGACGTTGGCGTTTTAATAGATTTAATTAAAATATTGTTCAATATATTAATATTCTTTTACATATGTTCTCCGCATTACGCTTCGTTTCGCCCGCGTCCGGTCCTGTATTATACATTATACAATCCTTTTTAATTATTCTGTATACTGTTGAAAACTACATTAAAATCCGCGTCCAGATAGCGGGAAGTTTGTTTTATGCTATGTATTGAAGATTAATAAATATATTAAGTACATTGTATTCTTAATAAGAAATGAATAAAAAACCACTGGCACTCTGAGATGGTACTCGAACCCGTGACCCCGAACCAATCCGGGCGACTGCTCTAATCACTCAGTTACCCAGGACCTCAGGATTGACGAACTTTTCAAGCACCTGTTATTTTTTCGCTACTACAGAGCGTATTTTCGTCAATAGTAATAGTAATAGTAATCGTTTATTTGCTATTAAATGAGGTATTATAAAAGATGGAAAGAAAATTACAGTTCAGCTCACTTAGCTATTACACTAGCATGCAAATACCATATTAATTAATTTTAATTTAATTATTACATTCAAAATACAGGCAATTAAAATAATTATTATTTAGGACTAAATCATTATTATAACCATTAAAAAATGTCAGAAAATAAAAACTATGTCACTACCATTATAACAAATTCAATTCAATTCAATTAGAAATACAGAAAAAAAAACAATGTCATGGAACATTCATTATCATAGTGTTTTGTCAGCCAAATACTCATGGACCGAATAGTAACATTTATGCATCAAGAGTTTTAACAGGCTCTTTTTAAATAGATTGAGTGAAGCATCTTTGATATAATTCGGCAACCCATTATAAATTCTAACAGCCATCGGATAGCAGCTGTTGCTTTGCATTGTTGTAAACATACTGGGTAACACTAGTCGTTCAGGATATCGTCCCCTGTACTCATTGTTCACGTCACAGTTTCGTTTAAAGAGTTTGTTGTTAACTCTTACAAAGCAACATACTTCATAGATATAAATACATGGCAATGTTAACAATCCCAAAGTCTGAAAATATGGTTTACAACTTATTTCTACGGATAATTTACATATGGAACGTATACATTGCTTTTGAGCAATGAACGCCCTATCGATATCTACTGAATTACCCCAGATTATGACTCCATATCTTAGAATGGAAGCCACATATCCATGGTACGCCAAAAGAGCAGTTCTTTCGTCTGTAATGTTTACAAGTCGCCATAATACGTATGCAAATTTGCTGATTTTGTTGCACAACTCCCGTATGTGTAGCTTCCATGTACAGTTACTATCCAGTATTAATCCTAAAAATTTTATATCTTTACTTTCCCCAATCGTTTGTCCCTCATGATGTACTTTAAGATTAAGTCGTTTATTATTTTTTTGATTATGAAATTGTATATATTTTGTTTTTTTAATGTTAACTCTTAAATTATTATCTTTTAACCAGTTGATTATTTCTTCCATTGTTTTATTAATTTCATTGTTGTATTCAACTACAGATTTGTTTGAATTTGATACCACCACTGATACATCGTCTGCGAATAACGAACAAAATTGCTTAGTGGCCTTAGGTAGGTCGTTTATGTAAAGAAGAAATAGAAACGGGCCCAAGATACTACCTTGTGGCACACCAAATTCCTTTATATTTCCACTAGATCTATAATTAATTTCATTAAAACAATCATCCAAATTTGAGAGTTCCGTGTATTGTAATCTTCCCCTGAGATAAGTTTGCAGCCAGTTATAAGCTTTTCCTCTAAGACCATATTTTTCACATTTGGCCAGGAGGATATCTAACAATACATAATCGAATGCTTTACTCATGTCAAAAAATATGGTCGTGACTTCTTCCGATTTATCTATGTAAGTCATAATTTTATTTGTCAGCTCAAACATTGCCAATGCCGTGGACTTACCTTTTTGAAAGCCATGTTGATTTACATTAATAATGTTTTGTTTATCTATGAAGCTATTCAACCTAACCAGCATAGCTTTCTCGAATATTTTTGATAGTATGGGTATCAAGGCAATGGGCCTATAATTATCTATTGAGTTTGTTTTGCCGGCTTTATGTAAGGGTTTTATAATTGTGACTTTTAATTTTTCTGGAAAGACCCCTTGTATGAAGGATAGATTAATTAAATAACTTAGAACTGGCGCGATTTCTGATTTATTTGCTTTAATAATATTTGTGGTGAGTTCGTCATAGCCCATAGAGGTTGTATTTTTCAATGTTGCTATTATTTTACTTATTTCGGTATCATCAGTTGGAAAGAGAAAGATACTAGCATCAATATACTGTACATTGTTAGCAGCTGTTTTTACGTGTATAGGTTCATTATGTTCAGAACCCAAATTTGCCCAGTATTCATTAAATGTTGTAGCAATTTCTTCTGGTTTATTAATTATATTATTATTATGTATAATTTCTCTTAGATAATTCTTTGTATTTTTTGCATTGTTATTTTTTATTAAATTCCAAGATGCTTTACAAATGTTGGTACTTCTATCCATATATTTCTTATTACAATTTTTTTGCGAAATATTAATACACTTTTTTAATACATTCGAGTATTTCTGATACCTTATTTTGTTTTTTAAGTTTCTTTTTTTGTAATATATGTATCTAAGTAATCTTTTTTGTCTACATGCTTTACGTATCCCTTTCGTTATCCATTGATTACTTTTTTGTTGCGGTATTATTTTGACAGTTTTAAAGGGGATGCATAAATTATAAAATAATGTCAAATACTCGTGAAAAGTATTAAAGGCTTTATTTACGTCAGATTCATTATAAATTTCCGACCAAGTTAATTTCTTCAAGCACTCATTGAGTTTGTCTATGTGTTCCGAACTAAAATCTCGCCTCTTAATAAAAAAATATTTCAATTTACCTCGTCTGTTGCCTATTGGAATCATCAGTGATTGGGCTGTATCATGATCCGATAGTCCCAAATAATGTATTTTGCCATGAGCTTCGGGAATATTACTGATTACGAGGTCAATACACGCCTGCTGTCTAGTCGGCTCAATAATATGTGATACAAACCCATGGTTTTGAACTATACTTAGGAATTCTCTACAACAAACGCTGTCTTTCAAAATATCAATATTAAAGTCACCTGTTATAATAGCTTTTTTATTTGTTTTGAGCTTAAGTTTATTTAAAAGTTCATTCCATTTATGTAGAAATAAGTTCATTGTTGATTTTTTATTGTACGGAATCCTATACAGGCAAATTATTATATATTTATAATCGGTGAGTTCTATCCCACAGCATTCAAATTGTTTTTCAACAGACATCTCCTTTAGGTACGGCACTTTTTTGTACTGTAAATCATTTCTGCACCAAATACCAACTCCCCCGCGTTTTTCATTTTTACGAGAAAATGTTTCAGCAAGATCATAGTTTGGTAACTGGAAGTTACTTTCATGACCTGACTTTATAAAAGTTTCTGAGAGACATATAACATCTATATCACTGAAGCCTTCTGCTAGCTCACCTAATGTTACTAGTAGGATATCTCGCTTACTAAAAATGCCAGCAATATTTTGATGTAATATTGTCAAGTAATTTTCTTTATTAACGAAAAAACTCTGATTGGTTTTTATTAAATGATTTTTTATTTTTATTCTGTAAATTAGTGGTATTCATATTATGAGATAATCCTAGGTCATCTGTAGGCTCATTTTCTTTTATAGTATGGCTTGTTAACTTTATTTTTGGAAAGTAATCTGTGATTTTTTCTTTTTGTCGCTTTCTTATACTTTTTGTTTGCTTTGATGTATAGTGAATACCAGTATTCTGCATAATTAAGCTATAACATTTTCTAGCGCAATTTAAATTTTTAATAAATTCGTAGTCATATCTTAAAAAGTCAATTTCAATATTTAATTTTGTCGAAATCATGTCAATTAATGTTCAGGCAAGCCACCCAAACAGCCGAAAGAAATATTTTTATAAATATTTTCTTTCTAGTGTAGTTCTACTCTTTTCAAAACTTTCGATAAAGACGAAAATTTGTTCTAATCTATACATAAGGTATATAAAAAGGGATGTCCTGACGTAGAAACTTGAAATTTGGTGGGAACATTCCCCTTAATAGTTAGAGGTGTACTAATAACGGATTTTAGGAAATTCCATCTCGAAGAGGGTCAAAAAGGGAGAAAAATTTGCATAAAACTTGTTTGTTTATGAACTTATGTTTTTGGGTAGTTTATGACCCTAGGAAGGTGATAGGTTATATTTTATCCCTAAAACTAGCACTTAAAGGGATAAAAATGGGAGTGGAAGATTTTATGGGGAATTGAAATATTACCATAGCACATAGCAACCATTGTTTATTTATTTAATTTACATTGCATAGCGATAAAAAATGGTGTTTATATAATTTATAAGAAAACAATATATTTTAAATTTGTTGTTCTTGAAAATGTTCAAATGAAAATAATTTCATTTACGAATGAAAAAATATTTTTATATATTTTGAACTATACTAGGTGGCGTTTGTTCTGAAGTAATCTGCATTAACGTATCTTTCAAGGAATTTTGCGTAGATTACGTTTTCTATTAAGTTTTGTGTAAACTTCAGAACTGTTTTTTCTAATTGGATTGGATTAATATCTCTAAAGTTTTCAAGGATGAAATACTAATAGCCTGATACAAATACCAACTTTCAGTAAGGAGATCAAACATTAAAACATAACAGCTTTTTTTTTTATTATGAGGGAATCATATATTTCCTTTTTAATATATGAATTAATCCAACGATATTTTCTTTCGGATTATTAGTAAAAAAAATAAAATTCCTTTAATTTCTCAATGGCATGATAAGCAAAATACATATAAGTGACTTCTACGTATTTTCACACTGTAACTTATGTTACTTCCATGAAATACATAAATCTTCCTAATATTATATTTGGAAACTCATATTTTTATATAACACGGACAATAAATATTTAAAAAAATTTTGTAAAAAAAAAACAATAATATTAACAATGTAATACGACTTCAATCGATATTACTATATTGCGTTAAGTTTATTTTGTTTTGAATCCAATGAAAATTTCCATGGGAATATTGTATACCGATATTCCCGTGGAATATTGGTATATAACACGCAATATATGCAGCAGACTTTTGAGTGAAACACATGTTCTACTAAATATCATTAAAATCCACTCATAAATATTTAAATAAAAGTTTTATTATATTAAACTACAACAAAAAAAATTAAGTAAAAAATTAAGTTTAATAAAAATCACTATTTCCTGTAACTTTTTTAGTTGGATTTCAGTAATTTTCATTATCGCTATGATAAATAAAACCAAAATTTGTGAAAAAAATCGTGTTAGTAATTTTGCGTGAAGAAAATGAAGGTTTTTGACCTGATGTTTTTTTTATACCTTCCGTAGCTAAAATGAGATGGATTCTTATATAGTCTCTTGGAATTGGCTCACAAACTCGATTAAAAATATTCCAGGCTTATATCGAATTATTTCCGTTTTTCTTGTATTTGTATCAGGCTATAAATCATATTGGATATTTCTTGTTGAACTTAAACATCAAGGTAATTATTATAGGTAAACTTCATCATCAGCTCGAAAAATAACAGCGTTTTCGGAAAATATTTGTTGCTCAAAGTAACTTTAACATGCAGACGAAGTCGTGGGCAAAGCTAGTTATTTTATATTTGGTCAATTCATTCATTAAGAATATTTTCATTATAGCATTGTGAATGCAAAATTGATCAAATATAATAATATATAATTGTTTTATACTCTGCAATATGATATATACTAATATTTATTTGTTTATTAAATCTTATGGCAAATTAACAACAAATATAACCATTCCATGGCCATATTCATATTGATAAACAGTTAATTAATAAAATGAAAATACTCCATTTATTAAATTCATTAATAAGCAAAATTTTCTTTATTCAAAAAGCTTACACACTAAAAGCACTTTTGATTCGTCCCCCATTTATCATTAACCCCCCATTCTGTGACCATTTGATCATTTGTCACGGAAACAGCTTTTCTTCCTTTGCCCAAGAATCCGTAATAAATAACAAGCAATTTATCTGTTCTTAGCAGTAGTAAGGAGGTTTACAATTATTTATTACTACCTATACATATAAACCTTCCTCTTTAAACATTCTGTTTCTTTGTCACATTATTGAAAAAAACCGCATGAAAATCCGTTGTGTAGATTTCAGCGTATAGACTGTGACTTTTTTCTATGTTGGTATAGATTTCACTAAAATATTTTATGTAAAATGTTGCCAAGATACTTAATCGTACCGTCAATAAGTGTTCAGATCTTATGTAGAGTATAGTATCTGTGGTAGAGTCAAGTTTCTCACTCTACATAGCCTAAATATACAAGAAAATCTACATCTTAGCCGAAACATGTGGCTGGTCGTTTTGCCGTACCGTCACATAAGCGTAAAGTATACTTACTATACTGCCCAATTCTTCTCATTTTTAATTTAAATTAATACCTATAGAAATAATTATTTCCTTAAAATGTATGCTGTTTATCTCTAGCGAGTGCGTAGATTATAGCAGATTATAGCATCACCCGCACCATTCCTGAGAGAATTTTTAAAATCGTTCCAGTAGCTTCGGAGCCTTTTGAATATCCTCTTTATAATACTAGTATATATAAAGAAGAATACTTGCACAATAAAGTAGTAGTAAGAAAAATGTTTTATTCCTTATAACACCTAAAAAACTCAAAGAGAAATCTCCTTAAAGATGCGCGTTAAGACGAAGGAAAAATGAAACGAAAACGAAGCGCCTATGAGACAGATCTTTAAAATAGAATATAGTTAGTATAAACAATGGTAAAACTGTAGAACTTAAGAGTTGAGGAAAGGATTATGTAATTATTTTCTATTGAGAAAATTTCATAAATTTACGTTTTTACTATATCAAAACGCTTATAAGTGTTAAGCTTTATTATTTTTAATTATAGCTTTTTTTAAAGTTATATCTTAGTACAAAACCAAGTAAAAGTTTGTGATTATTAAATCTTAAGACAAACAACCGAAAATGGCCTATAAACTCCTGAATGTATTCTTATATATATAAAATTACACTTTAATAGCATTTCACTTGATCTGTTTTGATAAAAGGTAAAGTTATAATTATTACAAGATTTTATTAAACACGTCTTGACAGTAAGTTAGTGTGGGTCAAATCTTATAAGCCAGACATACTTCCCGGATTCCCGGTGTGAAATTTTGCTGACACATAATTTAGATGACAATGCAATATTAACATGGAATGGGGATGTATATACGAAGCATTCCCAACGAGGGTGAGTTAATATGATTTGTCTTGAGAAATACTCTGTCCCGAAATGATGTCTAGAGTACGATGATGAAACTGGAAGGTGGACACTTTATAATTAAATAATGCAACCCTGTTTGAGTTTGGACCCGTTTGATTTGTCTATACAATATCAACAGAGTGATTTCGTAAAAATCCGTATTCGAATTCACTCCGGTGTGCGAATTGACTTCGAAAGTAACATCCGCTTAACTTTGAATTGGTATTAACCTTTCGTGCCATAAGTGAAGTGAGTTTCGAAATGACATAGGGATACAATATCTGAGACACGTATTAATCAATCAATCTTGTTTTGTATTTTTATCCAAAAAAAATTGAATCAATAGAATTTTCTATACATAAATTACATAAACTAAGCGGATTCGCTTTTGAAGAGTATGTCATATTCAAGCGGACACCTGAGTGAATTCGAATTCGGGGTTGGGATTTTTACGGAATTGCTCTGTTGATCAAACAAAAGTTTCTTATAAAAAGATAATTTTAATACTGCCCATTGTTTAGACTTTTAGATTTCTACAAAGGAAACTAGAATACGTTTCAATTGCACTTCCGCACGGACTGATTAGTTAGTCCAAAAATATGTAATTTAAACCTATTTTTAGCAATCAGTGGGCCTTCTTTAGCAGTACACAGTTCCTTAAACATATACTTAAACCAATCACGTGTTTTTCGTTTGTTCAAAATTAAAACTGTTTGCCGTAGGAGTAATGTTAGAAATATGCGATGTAATATAACTTACCCTTTAACTTCTGGATGCTCATCTAAATGGAAAATGAAGCTTTGTGGCAAACTGGCCAAGACAGCGCAGCCCCATGCTATCATCAACGCTCGTTTCACTCCCGCTTCCCACGTAATATTTAGGGGCTTGAGGATTGCATAATATCTGAAATAATAATACACACAAATGATTAATAGAGACCTCTAAGGTCGAGAATTCGAATTCGCTCACCTGAGTGAATTCGAATTCGGGTTCGGATTACTACAGAATTGCTCTGCTAACCACCTAGCGTCGGAAACGGACCAATTTCGCGCGCCGCGGTCGTCACCGCAAATGTGCCCGCGGGCGTCCAGTACGGCCTTAAATTTATAAAACTTGTCGTCTTTTATTAAAACGACAAGGTGAAAAACGAAAGTGTGGGTGAAAATTAATTATTATTAATTAGTGATCGCAAACACACTCACTGAGCTGTCTTCAAATTTGAAAGCATGTTTTCAAATAATTAAGATATTTTAAAAAGGGAAATTATGTGAGTAAGCCTATCATTATAAAAAAAAAACAAAAAACGATACATTTACTTGTAGAGACTTGCAACAAATCATAAAATAAAATCACTTTGATTTAGCGATCGGAATTCGGTCGGATAGCATTGTAAACTTTGATCAGAGTGAATCATAAATTCAACATACCAATTCATTGAAGTCTCAGTAAAACTTTAAACTACGATATATGATTATTATCTAAAGATAAATAGGTATAAAAGTTAGTCAATTGTTTCTTTAGAAACTGTAACTGTAAAATATATGTACGAGTACCTAGTAAAATCACTTCTGTGTACAAAGTGATTCCGAGACTGATTCCAAAGTTTCGTATAGTAAAGTTCATATAGTATGTGACTGATTCCAAAGTTTCATCCTATGAGATTTAGAACGCAATAATAAAGTTGTTCGCCGACCCAGCTGTGATTCGAGTTCGGAATATAAATCGAACTTCGATTATAAGAGGAATATACCACTGGCAAAAACGAATAATTTAGTTTTTTTTTCTAAATTTAAACGTAAATCAGTATTCTGAAGCTGATAATGTTTAAATCCTGACTGCAATGGGATCCTCATATTGGTAACTTGTCAAGTAGACTGAGTTTTGCAGCATTTGCTGTTAAGAAAATTAGACTCTTGATAAATGTTGAAACCGCAAGATTGGTATATTTTAGCTATTTTCATAGTGTAATGACATAAGGTCTATTGTTGTGGGGTTCTGTGGCTAGCATTCAAGATATTTTTATTCTACAAAAGAGAGCTGTCTGCGCTATATATCATTTACGGTCTAGGGAATCTCTCAGAGAAATATTTAAAGAAATAAATATTTTGACTGTTGCCTCTCAATATATATATGATAATATCATGTACGCAAGAAAACATTACGATTCCTTCACATAAAAAAGTAGTGTTCGTATTCTTACCACAAGAAATAAAAATAAACTTGCCGTTCCAAGATTCAGACTTCAGAAAACCAGAGGATCATTTCTAGGTAAATGCATTGCTATGTTCGATAAAGTTCCACATAATGTAATTGACCTACCCATAAATAAATTTAAAATTCATGTAAAGAACATACTTATGAGTAAAGGCTATTACATATAAGCTTGATGATTATTTTAAGGAACGCAATGCATGAAATTAATAGCCTTCGCTTTGTTCTATAACGACTAATTATATGTACAACCTTTGCCCCACAGACTTTGAAAGTTGTATTTATTATTGTGATAATACATATTATTTTGAGAAAGAGCTGGTAAGTTTCTTTCGCTTGTTCTTCTTGTCAGCCAAAAGACGTCCTGAACAAGTGGTAGGGTGAAAAATTTTTTTAGACGAGACAAATGTGCTTGAAATAAGCTTACTTGAATAAAGATATTTTCATTTCATTTCATTTATATTTTCATAGTGCTTAAATCTGTTCTATTATATTATCACCTTTATAATATTAGTAGGTTACTTGATATGTGTTATAATTAATATATGTTATCTGATTAATTTAAAAAACTGTTTTCAATTTTATCAAGACATACATACTCCCAAGATGCGGGCTGTCTAGGATTTCAATCACAGTTTAAAAGATTTTTTTCGAATTGGATACTCTTTCTCATTTGATAGACATTTACGTCGATGAGAATACCACTACTTTTTGTTATGTTTTTTTGGAGGATATTGGAGTTGAAATTTGTTAAAACTGGAGGAGAAAGGGATTCGTGGATAAATAAATAGGAGCTCCATGAGGCGTAGTGATTAGTGGAAATAAGCTGATAATGATCATATAGATAGATAGATAAAGATATTTACCTATCGATGGCTATGCAGATGAGCACGAAGCTGGAGAGATAAAGGCCGAAGGTACGCGTGAACATCATCAGTCTGCACATGAGGTCCCCGGCCAGCCATTGTACCGTACCTGCCCACGCTATCTCCAATGGCATCATGAGGAATGTCACCTGAATATAAAAATACACATACATGTTAGATTTATGTACCTATTATCATATTAACAATATACAGAAAATATTATAGTCATTGTGGCCCCCGGTAGCTGAATTGTATCTTACTATTTTGAGTAGCGGCTGGATACAAAAATGCCTTTTGTTTCTATTGATTTTCCTGCTAAAGGAATATCTTAAGCACTTTCTGGAGTCTGTTATGCTGTGTCGCCACCGCGGGCGCGAGGTACCTAAAAAGAGGATGCATATGCAACCTCACCGCAAGCTGCAAACGCATTTGTCGTTTGTCTTTTCCGCAACACTTGTTAAAAAAATGTTGTTCCGCCCATTAACCTTAACTTTATAACAAACTTCATGATATTTCAACAAACAATTTAAGCGTAGTAGATTTATAAAATTGTTGATAGTGCCGCAGTTGTAGATTCGAGTTCAGTGTCATAAATCGGTAATTCTTAACAGAGTTCTATCGCGTATACTCTACGGAAAATCTTCTTTCTGTATGCTTTATCTTTAATCAACCGCATATTATACAAACATAACGAATTGTTTTTATATTTTTTCTTTTGTTTTTACTTTTTTTTTGTTTATCCATAAATATACCTACTTATTAAACCTAGTCAGCCGTTTCTACAAACACCTAAGCACCGCACCCGTCACACACGGAGGTCGATGACCATTTTTGACAATTTATTGATTACTATTAATAGACATGAAAATGTTTCTGGACATTAAAATAGAAATTAAATTTTCAATTTTAATATACAAAGTTCAATAAATTTATTTTTTGTGCGCACTCTGTCTCGCAGGCACGTACAGTACCTACAACATAACCTTTTAACTTAAAAAATACCCAGTTTTGGTTTACTCAAGGTGTTTGATGTCTACCAATACTTCAAAACCAAATAGGTCTACTTTTTTTGGAGTTTTAGTGAGACTAAAATATGTTATTTCATGTTTATATTACACAAGCTGTTTTTCAGCAATTTCGCCTGCGTAAATTATAGCCTGTGATCTGTTATGACGAAGCTTCCCGTTGGTGAAAAAAGAAAAATTTCAAGTAACTCCACTAGTTTCGAAACCCATTCCGAGGGAAACAACACCTTTTTTTTACTTTTTATAATATGATAGATACATTATATATGTATTATATGTTTTTGTAAAAGAAGAAAAGATATCACACAGTTGAAACACCTTATAATACGCATAATATGTACGTTACTATTGTTTAGCAGTCATCAAGTTAAATGAACACAACTCGACGACAATTAAACTTACTACTATGCAAAGTGGAGTCAGTTCTCTTGCATACTTCCTAGATTCGCTCCTGATCTTGTTTTATTCAAAGTTTATTAATCTAATTTTTAAATAATTTTATTCTATCAATTAGTATTTTTTATTATATACCAAATAATAGAGTAAAAATAAATCATCTGTGAAGATTTTAACTGTCTTACTGTCACGGTTAATAGAGATACAGTATGGTGACAGCGTGACGTTGACATGGTGACGTTTGTTGTATGGAAGCACCCTTGAATATTTATTTCATCCAATTTTTTTTGTATTTGTCGTTGAAGCGACAACAGAAATACACCATCTATGAAAATAAAAACTGTCTAGCTTTAACGGTTTATAAGATACAACCCGGTGACAGACAGACTAACGACAGCGAAGTCTTAGTCTTCTTAATAATATAATAATAATAATATTTAATAATAATAATAAGTAACGGACTAAAATATATGCCCTGACAAAACATTAATTTTGACTGATCAATGAGAGCTTTACGTTAAACCTCAGATGATGCCTACGCGAACTGAAATGCGGTTAAATTCGAATCTTTCTAATAATTATGTTTTGTAAAAGTAATATTTGTAAAGGTTATCTGTGCATCAGTATAGTGTCAGGTCTATTATGTTACTGTTTAATCAGTCTTTTTTAGGTCTAATGCTTTTGTCTTGATCACGTGCGTACTCTGTCGGCTCATGTTCTATTATATAAGTAAAGCATTTAATGTGATTATAAACTTGCTCATAAATGATAATAACAAATGGTGCCTTTTAGGACTTTAAAACCTTTAAACCTCAGTTGCATTATAAATTATCAGAAAACGGATTTGTTTGAAGTCATAGTAGCGTTTCGAAATTTCGTTTTTGGAAAAACTGAACAGGCCTTCAGATCAATCTTAATAGTAAAATAAAAAAAAACAACTACGAAGTAGCAATAGATTCGCTAGAACAATTTCTACCAAAGAGAAAACAACATTGTTTTATTCTGAGCAATGTATGTGATGTTGTCTGTTTATTTTAGAGTAGTAGCTATTCACGAGACTGTAACATGTATCTTGTTTTTATTGAGTCAAACCCAGATAAACATAAAAAGAAGTTTTTATTTAGATTTTTTCTTTTTTAGGGCTCCGTAGTAAACAAGGAACCCTTATGGTTACGCCATGTTCGTCTGTCCGTCTGTCCGCGGTTTAGCTCAAAAACTATTGGTACTAGTAGTTGTAATTTGATATGAGTACACACGTCAATTATGGCGACAAAGTGGTAAAGTAAAATTTAGAAAATAATAAATATTTTGGGGAACCCCCCTACTTCTAAAGTGGGGATGATAATTTTTCTTCGACTTCCACACAGTATGGGGCATAGTTGGATAAGTCTTTCAAGACATTGGGGTATGGGGCCGTTTTTCGATTCAGTGAGCAGTTTGTGACTTATTAAACTTTAAAGAGCAAATTTTCGTTAGAGTCAAGTGTCCCCCAGGGCGCACATCAGATAACTTAATTTGGTATAATTTCATTTCAATAACTTTCATATGATATAACGATCATAACGTTTAATATAACAACGCTTCAACTAATCACTTTTGATATAACTTTTATTTCATATAATCATCATTTATTATAATATCATTTAACATAACGCTCATTTCATATAAAAACATTACATATAAAACTCACTATAACGGTGTAACGTATAACGGTGTGGTGGTAAGCGAAAACTATCTGCGACAATAAGCTTGTTTGGCACCGCCGGAGCCGTGAAGCTATGCCGGCTGTATGCTTATTATTTATAAAAACTAAGTAATAAAATACAATAATGTTTAAAGGTCTATTATATTTAGGTTCAAGTGTTATCAATTGTTAGGCGAAAGGTCGTTATATCAAACAAATATTTTGTGTTTTGAGTATTATACATGATGAGTGTATAGTAAACGTTCATTATACGTTTTGAAATTATATTTTTTTATATATCATTCGTTGATTATACCAAGTGAACGTTATATGAAAAGATTTTATGTCATCTGTTGTTATATGTTGTGAAAGTTATATGATATGTTATTATTATACATATCAAACATTACACACCCATCCTCCCCTTTACCAAATAACGGTCGTTATTAAAAATTCACACGTTACGGCAGTAGTATCTGTACATAACGAAGCTAAATGGCTTTACAAGCTTACGAGTAATAGTCAAACAATTGTTATAACTCGAAAGTGTAGAACAACTCCATAGAAAACAGTAAACGTGTTTTTTTTACTGGATAATGTAAGGAACACTTCATGCGCGAGTCCGACTCGCATTGACCGGTTGTCTATTTATGTCTTTTGTTTATTTATGGTTTTGCTCCTCTCACACGACACATTGTTATTTATTACTCTTTATTTATCACGGAGTAACTTAACTATTAATTCCCATGGAGGTTAAAAACAATACTTATGAAATATATATTTGAGACTAGCTGTTTTTCCGCGACTTTGTTAGCGTAAATCATAATATAAGTCAACCCCGTATGATGTAGCTACTCATAGGCGAAACAATTTTTAAAATCAGTCCAGTAGATTCGGAGCTTTTACGATGCAAACAAAAAACAAAAAAAAAAACTCTTTATAATATTATTATGAACTGACGTTATTTAATTATTTTTTGTGTAATATAAAGTCAAATTGTTTCAAAAGTCGTTCAGTGTTACAAAATATTCCACATACTAATAAACATTATTAGAACCATTAATATAATATACATAATTCAAGAAATATTAAACTTTCATTTATCTTACCGAGACATAAAGTATGTGGTAATTTAAGATAACATAATTGCAAATACAGACAATAATCGTCTTCGACAAGTGATGATTAAAAAACTTAATTTCTGTTTAAAAAACTTATGTTCGTATATAATAAATGTCTGTAATAATGTGATTCATAACTTGACTTCGGATACCAACACGGTTTTTAAAGTATTAAATATGAATATTAAATACTAGGCTGGGACTCGATAAAGGCAGAGAGAGATATACACGACGCCTGATTAAACAAAAAAAAAAAGTTGAAATAATTAGACACTAACGTCATTCATCAAATTTTATGTAACAACTGATAAAACTCAAAATTAACTTTTAAAAAGAAGGAAGAAAGATCTTTTAATACAGTCGTAATAATCAAACCTCTTTTGATTATAAATGTACGAATTCTTTTAAGTATGCAGAGTATTAAAGAATAAAGCCTTCCATTTGCAAATTGAAGCTTTCAGACCGTTACTAATCCCGTGAGATGATACGATATGAAGTTATTTTGTTTCTTTAATATTTTAACTCGAGTAATCTTTTAACACAACCAATTATATCCTGGTATTCCCTTATAGTTAGAAGGATCAAGGTCAGGAGTTAGAAAAGATGAAATGACTCGATGGCGCAATGGTTAGAACGTTCGTTTTGCGTTACGAAAGTTAAGTAACTTTCGCAAGAACTTGTCATTGATTGATGTGTGAACAAATTATATCGTCTCCGGCTGCACCGCGTTTGAGAGGGCACAAGTGAAATTCAATTTGGTTTATTGCGAGACTCAAACCAAAGACCTAGGCAAAAATGTCATGAAAGATGTGTCACATAATTAAGTACGTGATGTGTACACGACCACTAATCTACATCACATCTAGTAATATATTGCAAATACTAGATTTAGAAAAAGGAGAAATTACATCAAATGCTGGTTACAAAGGTTATAATTTACGTGGACGAATCCACGGGTTAACAACTAGTTAGATATAAATATCACTCAATATCAAAAACTACTCGTTCAAATAAATTTACGTGGAATTTTTATAATAAGATTTACAGCCTATACATATATTTAAATTTTTCATCTTCATAATAAAGTAATTACTCATTTATTTACTACCTTAAGGTAGAGAATTTGGACGGTACCTCAATGCTGTAAAGCTGTTCACATACATCAGTCTACTTTTCAACTGTGGAGTTTTAAAATTGGCTATGATAAGTGTGAAACTAAAAAGTCAGACAGACACGGCGGATCTAAATATACTCGTACTTAAAGGTTACATTTTTTCCATTCGGCTACGGAACTCTAAAATGAATCTTGAACAACAGATGGAGAATGATTGTAAGATTACATTTTTATTTTAAGGTATGGTAATAACGAATATAAAGAATTTTCGTGTTTTGAGGCCAGTGGTTTAATGAGAATTGAATGGACTGATTAGGCTCAATTCAAGAAATCCATTTCGATACCTACCTATTATGTCTGATCTGCCTACTCTGAATGAAACACGACATACAATAAAATATAAGCAGGAAAATTATTATTTTTCCTTTAATTAGCGTATTTCGTATAACGAAATAAAATGATAGAACGATAATCTTATTAGAATATCAAATTGTCACAAAACAAAATGAATATCTTACAGGTACGTTTCTTGGTAGATGAGTTTGTTACGTCAATTACCTTTGTTACATTCCAGTTATGTACACGTGATTTTATAATAATGTAAAGAGTAGCTCGGTGGCGTAGTGGATAAGCGCTGCGGCACGCTATTGTAGTTGTTAAGGATATTGCCCAGGGGTCGGTCACGGGGATGGGTGACCAAAAACATTAATATTATTTCGAGCTACTCCGTGCTTCGGAAGGCACGTCAAGCCGTTGGTCCCGGCTGCATTTGCAGTCGTTAATAACCTCCCAATCCGCATTAGGCGAACGTGGAGGTTCATGGCCCATCCTCCTTAACCATCCATAAGGAAGGCCTGAGCCCCCGCAGTGGGGACGTAACAGGGCTGATGAATGATACTATAATGTTATATTTATATATTCTCCAGATTTTAGATAAGAGTAAACTGAGAAAGATACAAAGTTTGTTATGCTACGGAAGCAGAAAAGGCTACTGTAAGGGTTTTGGCGGATAGGTCTCCGGGTCTCACCTCTTTGGCATCCGGTGGAGGAGAGTCCGGAGAGTCCTGTACTCTACTGTCGCTCGCCAGACGGCAGTGTATGTGCTGAAAATAATTCCCCGATGAAAGAAAAGCTTGTACTAAACTGTATAAACCTTAGCCGATTTCAAGCTTAATTATTTACGTTGAAATTAGAGTTCAAAATCGAGTGCACAGTCACACTAACGTACAAACTCTGTCACGACTAAATACATATTATGAGAACCATATTTAATTTATACTGCCGTACCTCTATCAGTAAGCCAGTATCGCGGAGACCGGGACGCTCCATGGCACGTAATCCATTGCTAAGATATTACTTACTAGTTTCGTCTGTGAAAAGGATCTACTTCTATCAATTTTAGTACAGCAATGAAATGTGAATTTCTGTAATGCTTACCATTAAATCAGCTACAGCTAAATGCATAAGGAGTACATCCAACCGGCTCGCCCTCCCCGCCCTTCTTCTTTTCACTAACTGCGATAACACTGTCAAGTTCCCAGTAGCTGATATCACCATCAGTACACTGTACACAGTTATAGACACCATATGTCCATGGTTGAATCTCATGTCCAACGGCAGCTCCTCGAAGCTGGTGTTCAAATGAGTCCAGTTTTTTTGCGAGGCGCCACCTGGCCCCGACACTTTCTCGTCAATATTCATTTTGACTTGCACCACTATTTACTGTGTTGTGATTGCACCACTATTTACTGTGCATGTTTGACTATGTGCTGTTAATATGTTGTGCAATGTTGAACCTGAAACAAAGAAAACTTTACATTTTAATTTTATAATAACCAGTCTTCGTATCGTGTTCGCAATACATAAAAAAATAGACGTTGATTCCTGATGTTTTTTTTTTATATTTCCTGTTTTCATTTTCCCGGTCCCACAAGGGTCACAGCGTTTAGTCAGGCATTTAGCTATTGTTTTTACTTTGAATGGGAGTCTTTTCATCTAAGGGTCTTTTCATCTAAAGAATTTGATGTTGCTAACAATTAGTAAGAATTTGTACACAATAGCGAAACGGCGACATACGAATTCGCTTTTATGTGATGTCCGTTTTATAGTTTGTTTGGGTCAAGTCGGGTGTATTTGACGTAATATAACAAGAATGCGGGATGCAAACAGTACACAAATTCCATTGCAGCATTAGGATTTGAAGAATTTTATAATACGACATAGCATAGAAATTTTGTGTTACAAATTGTCTAAGAGCGCGTAAAGCCAAAATACTCCTGTCTTTCCCATTGCGCTAGGCATTGAGGTGGAATAGAGAAAGAGGATGGGGAATTGTGTGACAAAAAAAAAAGATTAATTCATTATTCGTTAACTATTATCATTATTGAATAATTAGTTCCCTATGTCAATAAGTAACTTACATATATTTATAAGTAACTTACAAAATAAAAAAGTGTTTAATTACATAAAGAAACGAGAAAAGAAATATCGTTTCTTGTTTGCCAATCACGTATTTTTTTATTTCTTTAGTTGAAATGTCGCATAACGTCACACCATTGTAAATTTACTACATAGTTGTGACATAACGAGACCCCACTCCTCAACTTTAATGCCAATATCTGACCCTCTTCTTGTTATTGAAACAAAAAATACGAATTTTATACTTTTCTACTATATTTGTTTTTTACTCCGGCATAATCCCTATTATGATTTAGTTAACTCATTTACAGTTAGCACAAACGTCTATTAAAATTAGTTAAATATCATTAGTTTAAAGCGACATTACCCATAAAAATCTGACATTCATTAGAGCTTAAAGGCATCCTCAAATCTTAATGGAAGTTTGTGCAACTGACTGTCAGATTAACAGCTTATTGAACGTTATATTTTTATACTAAATAAGATAAGTCTAAGTGATTTTGTACGCGTCCTCTAAAATTGATTTAATTTTTTATTCTACTGATATTTATAAATTTTTCTTGAAATTAAAGACTGCTTTAACAGTGACTTTCAAAGACAGGCAAAATTCCTTATTATATTAATTTCACTGTTAAATATGGTAAAATAATTACTTTTGTTGGAATGGAATTAAATCGAATAGGGAGAAAGGGGCATGGACTCACCACGTGGCCGCAGTGCATATTGGTGCGTGATAACGACTGCAGATGCAACCGGGACCAACGGCTTAACGTTCCTTCAAAAAGAAGCACGGAGGAGCTCAAATAATAAATTTTTGGTCAACCATCCTAAGACCGGCCTTACTAAAGTTGCTTAACAAACGTTTCGGAGAACGAGCGCGCTAACCACTGCGCCATCGAGCTGCACAATAATTTTAATATAGTTGAATGTAACTGAATCCATTTGTATAGACTGCTATCTTTAGACAGCGGGTAAAAGTTTTTAGCAGATAATTAATTCCAGTATCCAGTGTTGCTATGAGTACTTATTGAACTTTTCCGCTCTAGAATTTGCTGCGAGGGGTCACTGTAAATAGGAAAATCTCCTGAATATTTAAATGTATATGAATATAAAAACTCTTAATAAAATTTTGTGTATATTAATGAAAATGAGTAAAAATTAAGATCATTATTCATACTTTAAATGGTTTCGAAAGCTAAACAAATAAAATCACCAATAGGTAAGAGAAAGTCTTAGCCAAATAAGAAATTATTATTAGATCTTATTGATTAGGCCATAAATAGTGTAATACTATACCTAACAATGGCTGGTTGAACAAAACACTTTGAACAGGCCTAGGGCTTGCATTCTTAAAATCGAAATTCGATATATAAGGCATAATATTTATATGCCTTTATGGGATATACCGAATAACATTTACCATATCAGCAACACGCTGAATTCACAAAAAAATATCAGCTCTTTTATATAAAATTGTAACACCTACAATTAGTGTCCGACCGAAACTGGTTTTTACTACCGAAACCGAAACCGAATTTCGGCAACAGTCTCAGTTTCGGCCGAAACTTTCGAGAGAAGTCCGAGTGCAAGTCGGACTCGCGCGTCGAGGGTTCTAAACAAACTTGTAGGTATATAAGTACAATTTTCGATTTTTGCAATTTTTCCTTTATCTGTGCTATGAGACGTTGCTTCTTACTAAATTTCAAGATTTTGAGTTCACGGGAAGTACCCTGTAGGTTTTCATTGCCTTGCGAGTTTCAAAAATTTACGGACATTTGCGGCATAAATGGCTCTATCTTTTGATTACGTTGGCTTAGAAGTTTGATTTTTTTCACAGCTTTTGATATTTGGGGTATGTTCCTATATACACTGCGAGCACTGCGCAGTGGTCTTACTGCTGAAAAATCCGTTCCGTTATGGACTGCCAGTACACTGCTACAGTACCCTAGGGAAATTCATGACGTCATAAGTTGCCGCCATATTTATACTGTGAGCACTGGAGATTTCGAGGTAAGGTGCTCGCAGTGCTTTTGATCACATGATCAGTCGAAACAGAATCAGTAAATGATAAGTTTCTAAATAAACAAAAAAAAAACTTAATTAAGGATTTTCTCGCTCTCTCTACCAAACTAGTAATTTGTTTAACTAATAAAATATAAATTAAAATTCCAACGTTTTCACTTGTTTTTCTATTACTATTTTTTAAAGCAGGCGGGATTTTTTAATTTTAAATCACAAATCTATGCTGTCTTCGTTATTTTAACTTATTAATATTCAACTTAATAAGCCCTCATTTAAGAAAAAAATTAATCGCGTCTTATAAACACTTAAAAGAGGTGAGGTGTCTATTTAATTAAGTAAATTCTTCTTTTGAATATAATTTATGGTATACATTCTTAATGAAAAAATTTAAACTTTGTCCCTGGTACTCTAACATGGGACGAAGTGGATTTTTTAAGCATTTTTCATTAAGAATATTATCCAGTATAGCATTGTGAATGCGAAATTAAATATAACAATCATTTATGGTTTAAAAAAATACTAAACATAAAGTTTCTTATTTGACTTTACTCATATCACAATAGGTATGGTATTTAATTACTAAAACAAAGAACTCTATCTTAACGTATTTCGTCATTTTATAAACTTAACTTAAAAGAAACAAATGATAAAATACTAAATTATAAAATCAAAGTAATCACAAGACTGGAAATAGCAGCGATTAAACACTTACTAATAATTACAAGTGGGTATCTTTACAGATAACAATTACTCTTTATTAGTTCATAATTCAACAATCTTATAGGTAAGAAATATTTGTATAGGTATAGCAATATCGAGAGTTAACTTAACAAAAAAATATTTAGGTAGCTTTAACTTGATTATACTATATCTATGAATTGATTAGTTTCTTATATCTAATAATTCTTTGATGTTTATTACTCATTCTCTACTATATCATGTGACAAAACTTACTGAATTCAAAATGAATCACACCAAAACTTACAACAATCAAAACACAAGCCATCACGACATGATTAGCCACGAAGACGCGGTAAATGTCTTCGTCGCCGATTGGATAGGATCCAATGAGCCGAACAAAACCAACCGGAGAGATATGCTCGAATGCAGTTTCGTTTTCGGTCGCAGTTTCGGCAGGTTTCCAACCTAATTTACTAAACCTTGTTTTTTGATGAAACTCGACCGAAACCGAACATTCGGTCGGACACTATCTACAATCGCCAACAGTATGGAACATGAAACTGCTGATATTTTTTTCGTGAATTCAGTGTTGCTCTCATATAACTTAACGAGAGCAAAAATTTAACTTATACACCCCATGAAGTCCTGGCACATAATAGTATTACAATTTACACTTTGAATTGGAAACTGTCTCTTCATTATGTTCTACTCTAATTTATGTATTTTGTATGCAATCTGTTTACAATTCATTAAAAATTATATTTTTTATGTATTTCAATATATATTTTTGTATAAGTTAACTAGATGTTTTTTCCGCGTCAACGCCCTTGTAAATAATACGAGTAGCATATCATCACCCGGTTTCTGAATCGAGAATTTAAAGTTAAAAACATATAACAAATAAAATAAAACTAGGACTTTTTGACTTGTGAAACATAAAAACTTAAGTTATTAAGAATGATCAGTTGAGATTTTGTACTTTTCTCAATCCAGTATTAGGTCTAGTGGTTTCGCTCTTCTCTTCCCTCTTTATAATGTTAGTATAGATAAGTATATTGTAGATATATTATATAAATATTTACTTTTGTTATATCTATATGTATACCTATACTTTCTACTACTTTATATTTTAATACATATACACAAACTATATATATGTATGTTACAGTTGCAACTAGTTTTTAGATAGAACGCATTTACATATATATAAAGACACACACACACGTTACAGCACACATACACAATACGTCACTACATAGGCTCTGTCTTATACCAGCGTCGGTACTGTGATAAAGCATAGAAGCGACATTAGCTGAGACAGGGTCCTAATTGACTTTCGCACATAATAACCACACATTTATATATAGTTCTAGAAATGAATTCTCTAAGTTATTACATCTTTTGTTTTTGTTATTGTAATGTTATGGTGTGAATGTCAATAAAAATATTCTTATTCTTATATATTTTAGGAGGTCCGGCATCAAATAACTATTGGTATAAGATTTCTGTAACTCATTTCACAAGGTTTATTCTT